AAAAAAAAAAAAAAAAAATATTATAACAAACACACTCAATAAGGAAAAAAAAAAAAGTTTCAACAATCGAACCATATAAGTACAATACCTATCTTATTGACATTCTACGGGATGTCTAGAAATAAAAATGAACAAAAATGAAATGAATAATACATCAAGTATTTTCAACATCATTCCGCATGCTCGCTATCAAACTCAACCTTCACGCATTTGCATATTCTCGGTCCTGTTCTTGACTCTCTAAATATGGTCTGAAATCTTGCATTTCATCTTCTATTGAAACTACGTCTTCAACGTCAACATTGCGGCTTCTATGTCATGTTCTTGACTCTCAAAATACAGTCAGAAATCTTGCGTTTCATCTTCTATTGAAATCTTCCGGCTTAAAATTTGATTTGAAATTCATATTTAGAAATCTTTTTACCATTACACAAGAGCGCTTGGATGAGATGACTTGAGTCTCTTCCAGCTTAACCAGTAGTCTCGTGTTCGAGCCCTGGAAATGCAGTAGTGTTAAAACTCTTGAGAGAGAGCTTTGCCGCCCTTGTGGTCCTACCCGACTCGATTTCGGATTAGTCGGTTCCCCTGTGGATCTGGAAAACGGAAGGTCCCTGTACCAAAAAAAAAAAAAACCTTTTTACCATTCAATTTTTGTTAATATTTAGAAAATAAACTGTCAATCTCACGTACTTTTAAAGTTAATTTTTCAACTTTATTTTATTTTTTTACATTCTAAAAATAAAAAAAAAAAATATCAACTTTGTCAATTTTAATATTATTTTAAATAGCAAAATTTTGAAAAAAAATATTTCGGTAGTAAAAAATATCTTCACCAAATTTATTTTACTTTTCCTATTTACCTTGTTGTCCCGTAGCCCACGTGTCAATTTAACTAGGGCCCACATATTTTCCCGTGACAGTATTCCTTCTTCCTCACGAGAACCCCTCTCTCTCTCTCTCTCTCTCTCTCTCTCTCTCTCTACAGAGCGGTGAATCTCTGGTGAAACATTTGGTTATATAATTCACATTTTAGTTACAGATCAACAAATCATTTTCTTTGTTTCTCATTTCTCGCTAATTTTGACGTTATTACTAATATTTAATAATATACATATATATATATATTTTTTTTTTTTTTGCTGTAAATTTATTTTCCTCCATCGGCCGCTGGAGTTTCGGCGCTGCTCAGATCCGAAATTTTCTCTCCGCCGCTTTTTTACATATGGGTTTTCTCAATTTTCCTTTTTTCCTTTGATTTTGGGTATCGTTGATTCAAACAATATCAACGATTTACGCAATCGACGGCAGAGAATTCAGGAGCAGCCATTGTTGTAGCAAGCTTTCACGCTTCAGATTTGATTGATCGATTGATTGTGTTTATTGAAGCGGCCCCGCAACTCTCTGTCTCCCTCTCTCTCTCTCTCTCTCTCAACTCCAGAAAAGAGTCGCCTCTGTTTCTTCATTTCCTCTTTTACTCTATTTTTTTTCTCGATTGAGTTGGCTATCGTAATTCGATGTTTTCTTGTTTTTTTCTGGCAATGTGGGATGTTACATGCCGGAAAGATCTGATTTTGTGATCTAATTGGCGTTCAAATCGGGTTCTTTCGACAGTTCAATTAGGTTTCCCAATTTGATCGTAGCTTCAGGAGAAAATCTGGGGTGATCCGGGATAAATCCCGGTCGAATTAAGAAATTCAATTCAGATTACAGTTTTCCAGGGTGAGGCATTACAAAAGACATCGCGCCGCGCACAGGAAGAACGGCGATTGAGTTCTGTCATATCATTAAGATCCCTGAGAATGCTGTTAAATGCTTCAGCTAAATGCTGCAGGTATTAGGGAAAAACAAGCTGGTCCTATGCATCAGAAACATCAGGTTCCCTGTTAGGAGAAACCGGTGTCTGAAACTCTCTTTTGGCATGGGCTGCATTTGCTCCAAAGGGGAAAAAGATGAGAACAAGGTCAAGAAAGAGAGAGGCTCCAAAGGATCCTTCAAACGATCTGTTAGGAAGGAAGATATTGTGGTCGAGGTTGATAATGGAGGCAGTGAAGCTACCACGAGGCTTATATCAACAGATAACGCTGAGAAAAGTGCAGGGTCAACCCCGGCTGTGTGGGAGCAGAGTTATAAGAAGCCAATGGTTAGTGAGAAACCTGTTGTTGTGTCCCAAATGGTCGAGAATGGGACCCAGGGGGGGAAGCCTCAGATGTGTCGGGTGTTGAGCATGAGAAATGGGGTTGACGGGTCACAGGTGGTTGCTGGCTGGCCGTCGTGGCTGACCTCAGTGGCCGGGGAAGCTATTAAAGGGTGGATACCTCGGAAAGCGGATTCTTTCGAGAAATTGGATAAGGTGTAGTATTGTAGTCCGCTTTGTGTGTGTGCATAATTTTACCTGGAGTATGGTTGTCCTTGCTGTATAGGTTGCTCGTTGGTTTTCTTTGGGTGGGTGACGTTTTGTTAATTGTTTTTGCTTTGGATCTAGTGATGTTACGTTTTGTTTTCTGTCTGAACTCTTATGGTTTTGTATTTCAAATGGAAGTATGATAGAATTTTTGGAATTTTGTTTATGGTGTAGATTTTTCCCGACTTAGGCCTTCTTAGGATGGGGAAGGTACATGCCATTTATGTGAAAATATTTTGTTGTTTTCTTTGCCTTTCAATTGGCAAGTTTCTAGTTTTAGGTTCTCTATTGGCTGTTATTATCGTTAATTTAGGTCGTTCATATGCCTTGTAAGACTCGTTATAACTGTGGTGCAATATTATTATATTGACTAGAAATGAGTTGGTTTCCTGGAGGCAATGAATGTTATGTTACTAAATTTTAAATTGATTTTAGCTTCTGAAGCAATTTAGGGAACTTCCAACAAAGTATTGACATTTTTCTGAATAGTTAAATTATTAATTTTCTTGTCCTAACTGAAATTGAAAATTCTGCAATGCCACTTCCCAGATTGGTCAGGGAACATACAGCAGCGTGTATAGAGCTCGTGACCTTGAAACTGGAAAAATTGTCGCTTTGAAGAAAGTGCGGTTTGTCAACATGGACCCTGAAAGCGTCCGTTTCATGGCCAGGGAAATCCTTATCCTACGCAGGCTCGATCACCCTAATGTCATGAAGCTTGAAGGTCTTGTCACTTCAAGGGTTTCAGGGAATCTTTACCTGGTATTCGAATACATGGAACATGATCTTGCGGGACTTGCGGCTTCACCAGTAGTTCGATTGAATGAATCTCAGGTGTGTTGCTGGTATTTATTCTTATTCCATTTTAGGGATGGATTGTCATATGAAGCTGGCATAAAGTCACAAACGTGGAAACTGTGTAAAATAAGGCATTAATTAATGCTCTACTCCTTGGATGTAGTATCTTTTGTAGGCAAGTCGTTCATGACTATTTTCTATGTAATGTGCAAGCAGATAAAGTGCTTCATGCAACAGCTGCTTCGTGGACTTGAACACTGTCATAGCCGTGGAGTCCTGCACCGTGATATTAAGGGTTCAAATCTTCTGATTGATGATCATGGAAATCTAAAGATTGGTGATTTTGGGTTGGCCACCTTTTTCCGGGCCAATCAAAAGCAGCCCCTAACTAGTCGTGTTGTAACCTTGTGGTATCGACCTCCTGAGCTTTTACTTGGTGCTACAGATTATGGCGTAGCTGTTGATTTATGGAGCTCGGGTTGCATTCTTGCTGAATTATTTGCAGGGAAACCAATCATGCCCGGAAGAACAGAGGTACATTCTCCTTTTATAAGCCTTTTCATTTGTTGAGTCATTGAATTTGCAACTTCTTGTCTATATACTAAATAAGATGATGCTAAAATCCGACAGACAGAGGCAGAGAGAATATTATTGCCACATTGTTGTTTGAATTGAAGATAGTATTATTTTCTATTTGGGATGTGGAAAATGTTTGGGATTGCTGATGCTTATATTTTACCTTTAGCGTTATCTTTCTCCCAGCTGTGATTTCAAGTGTGGCCTACGGGAAAACCTTAAGTAGTTCTAGCACATATGTTAATTTCATTTAATGTTGGTCATATGTTTTCCAGCCTTCTAAAATGGCAGTGTTTGGTCGTTAGACCACATTATATTTCAGTGTGAAGTAAATGACAAACTGTCTTTGAATTTCACTTGATGCATTTTACAGATAGCTGTAGTAAATTTTACAACGAGTTTCTCTTGATATTTCTCTCTCTCTCTCTCTCTCTCTCTAGCAACTCCACCAACATTGGCTTTTTTGTTGTAACCTAATTTACTATGCATGCAGGTTGAACAACTTCATAAAATCTTTAAACTTTGTGGTTCACCCTCAGAAGAATACTGGAAAACATCAAAGCTACTGCATGCTACAATTTTTAAGCCTCAGCATCCGTACAAGAGATGTGTGGCTGAGACATTTAAGGATTTCCCCCCTTCGACTTTATCACTTCTTGAATCACTTCTTGCTTTTGAACCAGAGCTTAGAGGATCAACAACTTCTGCACTTCATAGTGAGGTAACACATTTTTTTTCCCTCTTTTCAATTTTCTTCCTCTTAGCAACTCCGACTTTCCCCAGAATGGTTCTCCATTCCAGACATTTGAAACTTTGATTATATTGTGTATCTTCAGGTTTGCAGTATCTTGTGCGTTATTTTTGTAGTCTGTGTGACAATGCATAGTAGTTTGTTTCCATGATGCAATCTGCACAAAAATCAGTCGTAGGGGGATAAATCTATCTGCCCTGATTGATCACGTGTGGTCTATGTTGCCATAGTTTGTTTTTTGGGATCAAAACAATGTTAAATATTGTATATAAGTATGTTGTTAAGCGCTAACAGCCGTGCTGCAGTTTTATTTGGATGAGGCTTCTGTTTCTTATTTAGAACTCTGTGCTGGAATCTAGAAATCTAGTCTGCATTTGAACACTTACTGTTCTTTCGTTTTATGTTTGTTTATTTTGTTGGTGAAAGCATGAACTGTAGCTATATTTTCATTAGTTGTCTATTCACGTGTCATCTCTTTTCAGTTCTTCACGACAAAACCTTTACCTTGCGATCCATCATCTTTGCCAAAGTACCCACCTTGCAAAGAGTATGACGTGAGAGCACGAGATGAAGAGGCGAGAAGGTATAAATACCATCTGTATTTGCCAAATTGTTCGCATGTTTCTGGAACAGTCAAAAAAATGCTAGTCTCTAAGTATAATTCTTAGTTTATAACTTGTAAGGCTGGATGTTTTGTTGTCTATTGTTCTCACTTGAACCATGACCTGTCATAACTCTCACTTGAACCATGATCTGTCATAACTCTCAGACAGAGTGCAGCTGGTGGAAAGGGAGGCCGGGTCGAATCATCCAGAAAAGGCTCCAAAGAGTCCAAAGCAGTCCCAGCACCTGATGCTAATGCTGAACTGCCAGCGTCAATACAGGTATATAAATATTCTTCTAAATTTCTGAAATTACCCATCATGCTTGGCAGATAACCCAATAGTTAGTGTAAAGTATAATCTGATTTTGTACATCTCAACAAACACACCCCTTGAGGATGCAATTTGTAAAGTTTCAATTAAATCTCGATATATATTTACAAGTATAGTTTTTAGATATTGATTTTGTAGCCTCCTAAGTTTTAGTGAGATGACTTATTTACTAATGAATGTCAGAGCTATAAGAATCAGAAGATGTTAGTAATAACAGTTCTGTTAATTGAAATGATTAAAAGTTCAAGGAGGTAACTGAGATAAGATTGCTTTGGAAAAAAAAAGGGAGATAACACTCACATCTTATATTTCAGAAAAGAAAAGGGCAATCGAATCCCAAGAGTAACAGCGAGATGTACAACCGCGAGGAGGACAGTGGTTCGGGCTTCCCGATCGAGCCATCAAGAGGATCTTCACATGATAATAGCCACTCGATGCTCATGGGCCCATCTGGAAATTCACTGGATTCAGTGAACGAGGAGCATCGTCTGAATTCTCATGGGCTGCTCGACTCCTCGGGATACCGAGACCTAAAGACCCAGAGATCTTTCAAGCCGCAGGGTACCCGACTGGCTCGGTTTTCCAACTCGGTGGCTGCCCGTGGCAACTCGCAGCTTGATTTCAGCCGGGACTCGAGCGTCCACGCAAACTGGCGGAAGCACGACTCGGGATACGAACGGGTGGAAGATACTGACCAGCCCAATCATCTGCTGGGAAAAGCAGATTCCCCGTACAAGAGTAACGGGCAGGTGCCTAATCTCAAGGACGCTAATGTGGTAAGGAAGTCTGTGATTTTTCCTTCTTTTTTAACCCATGAGGTTTGCCTTGGTTATCGGAGAGAATTTAGTTATCTTTCAAATATACAAACATCACCAGGAAGTTTGTTTTGTGGGCGCACTTTGAAATTTTGTAAAATAGAATCATATTTCAAGGGGATATATGATCATTTTTGTAATTTGGCAAAAGTAGTGCTATGTTCGATCGTTGAGGGAATGAATCCCCAGACAGTGAGGAGAAAAGCATAACTTGTAAAAAGCCCCTGAACTAGGAGTTATGCAATTCATTCATATACTAATTTATTTGTTGCATTTACACATCGTACAATGCAATAACATGTTTTTTATTTGCCTGATGACAAAGTGAGAAAAAAATGCATAGTTCGTGATGTGAAGTGAAACAAAGTTTTGGGGGGGAATGCAAAAGGAAAAAAAAAAAGAGAAAAAGAACTCGGTCGTTCAGGGTTGTTTAGTGTAATTTCCTTGAATAAGAAAATAAATATCATGGGGTTGATCCGGATCATGATTGTGTGGACACCCCACCTCATTTGACGTAGATCGTCCTTTTCTAACCCTGCTATTTCTCTTCCTCCCAGAAACACATAACATTAAGAGAAGAAGATCCTTATCAGGGAAGCTATTTTTTATCTTAAATTGAATTTATTTTCTTCCTAAAATTGCAGGGTTATGCTTTCAAGAAGACAAGAATGCACTATTCTGGGCCGTTGCTGCCTCCAGGTGGAAGTGTGGAGGAAATGCTGAAAGAGCACGAAAAACAGATTCAAATAGCTGTAAGAAAAGCTCGTGAGAAGAGTAAGAGCAGGAAAAGCCTGCTCAATAATGGACAGACAGATTCACTCCTCGGGTATGTTAATGGCCGCTGAACTTTGTGATGCATCAAAATGTATATGTCCTCTTTTACCCCTGGATTACATGTTCGCGCTTGGAATGAGCGTGAGTTGAAGTATTTCCCCTTTCCATCTGACAAGCAAATATCATCTTACTTCGTGTCCATTGCTACCTTGATTTGGAAAATGAGAAAAATCTGAAGGTGTTAAAGGTAATTTTCTTAGATGCTTAGATCAACTCTCCATGGATATGGTGACTATTGGTTGCAAGGTAAGAGAAGGAAATTTTTCCGGTGTGTAAGGTCGAAAACATGTATGTACAGTATGTTGACTGTATATCCTTCTTTTATATGAAGGTCCATAAACTTTTTTGGTAAAACTAGACTCTGAAATTAGAGAGTGCTTCCTGGCAAGATGTACAGGCTTTTTGCAAGACTTTTATATCAGTGTTCAAGTCTGAGAGTGCCTTTGTACAACTCAGTTGAACCACATTCAAGTCTGATATATAAACCTTTTATGTCATTACAGACCAAAATGCATTATGGTCCCTTGAGACAACTAATAGAAAGCATGCATTTTGTTGGCTTTTGGTGCTTTGGTTAACTGTTGGTTCAAACAAAGGGATGTGTTCTAAAGTATTTTTATTCAGCTTTTCAACATCAACATACCCAGTGGGAATACAGTATAATCCCAACAGGTTGGGGTCTGGAGGGTCAGTTGTACGCAGACCTTACCCTTGTAATTATACAAGGAGGTACCCTTGTAATTATACAAGGAGGCTGTTTCCGTAGCGACTCAAGGTGCGTTGTGTCGTTAGATATATTTTTTTTTTTTCTAGAAACTTCGCTAATAGAAGAAGCACTAGAATTTAATTGAGCCATTTTGATTTAGTCTATTATTAGCACTATGCCAGGAGAATTGTCAACAATGACTCTTCCAGCTCCATATGCAATGTACATTTTTATTCAGCTTTTATGCTAAGAAAAAAAAAAAATTCCAGCTTGGTATTTTTTAACCTCTATCAACATAAAAAATGTAATCAAAATTGCATGATCACATATAACATCCAACACCCCAAAAGATACACCAAACTTTGTTGACCCACCAACAAACCATTTTGCTTCAACCCAAATCTTCTTCAGTTCACAAGTCTTCATCATCACTCTAGGAAGATAAACCTCAAAGCCCCCTTTTCATATTTCTACACACCACAATCCCAACTTCTTCCTTCCTTCCATAGTTAAGGAAAGAGAATATGAGGCCAAAAACACAACTCCCCTTTAACCTCAAGCTCCTCTTTATCCTTGTCATCCTCTCTCTCTTCCTACTCTTCATTCTAAGATCAAATTTATCAACTTCCTCCGACCAAATCGATTCGACCCCGACAACCCAATCCACTATGTTCTTCCCGAGAAAATCCTCGACAAACCCTAACGCCCCATCAACAACCCACCCTTCCGCGTGCAACAAGATCCCGACTTCTTTGGCCCAAGCCATCATCCACTACTCGACCTCGACTATAACCCCCCAACAAACGCTCGGCGAAATATCCGTCACGTCGAGGATCCTCGAGCGGAAGTCCCCGTGCAACTTCCTCGTGTTCGGGCTGGGGCACGACAGCCTAATGTGGCACTCGCTCAACCACGGGGGGCGGACGGTGTTCTTGGAGGAGGACGAGTCGTGGGTCGAGCAGGTTCGGAGGAGGTTCCCGATGCTGGAATCGCGCCACGTGGCGTACGAGACCCGGGTGAGTGAGGCGGACAGGCTCATTGAGGCGGGTCGGGGGCCCGAGTGCGTGGCGGTGTCGGACCCTCGATACTCGATGTGCCAGCTGGCGCTCAAGGGACTGCCCGGGGAGGTGTACGAGACGGAGTGGGACGTGATAATGGTGGATGCCCCCACGGGGTACTACGAGGAGGCGCCTGGGAGGATGGGAGCCATCTACACGGCCGGGATGATGGCAAGGAACTACCCGAGCCGCCGGGGGGGAAGTGGGACCCACGTGCTGGTGCACGACGTGAACCGGGAAGTGGAGGACAGGTTCTCAAGGGAGTTCCTGTGTGAGGGTTACATGAAGAGGCAGGAGGGAAGGCTGAGGCACTTTGTGGTGCCAAGCCACAGGGATGATTTGGGCAAGCCTTTTTGTCCATGAGCAGTTTGGGAAAATTTTTGAGTTCAAATTTGGATTGTTGTTATTTGTATTGCAAACCGTGCCGAAAAGATAAACCGGTGACTCATAATCATTAAACTTAAATCAAATATTTGACATTGTGATAGTGATATGAGAACCCTCATTATTTTATTTGACTGTCAAATTACTTAAATTTTAAAGATTAAGGCATGTAATTTTACATTTTCCCACTGTCCTTACCACGCATCCTGTATGTTATGTATTGAGCTTAATTTGTTGTGTATTGAGCTTAAGTGGTAGACTCGCACGCTTCATACGTTGAAATAGCGTAAATCTATGCTTTGAAATTTGGTTTTTATATATAATTTTGCTTTGGAACATCTACCCGATTAATGGGCGGCAAATTTTTTCACATTGGGAAGACATATCAACACGAAGAAACTGAGGGTTTGTATACTGAAAGCAATTCTTCGTTTGCACTTATTTCCATTTTGAATAAAAGAATCATATTTAGTCAATCGTTGTGCAATTTACTTTATGTATGTTTTATCTTTATGCGGTTATTGACATTAAAGATAATATAGTGCGACTCGTTGCATATAAGATTGTATTATCGGTTCCATGTACAATATAAATAAGATACAATACGAAGATAATATAGCGTGTCTTTTGTTTTTATGTATGTTTAGTCAATCGTTCTGCAATTTACTTTATGTATGTTTCGTCTTTGTCCTGTTATTGACATTAAAGATTACATAGCGTGACTGAACATAAGATTATATTATCGATTCATTGTACAATATACATAAGGTGAGATAGTAGTGGATAAACCTACCCGTAAGGTTATAGTACCGGTCGAATAAGGTTTATAACTGAGATAGCAGTCGACAAATCTATCGATATGGTTATAGTATAATCTAAGATCGATTTATCTTGACTGATTAATTATATTAGTACACTTTATGTGTAACGAACGGGACCACGAAGGAAAAGTTTATTTTATATTGACCTAGTAAATAAACTAGACCTTGTGATATCACTCATACTCTAAACACGGTAATAATGATGGGCGAGTGTGAATAATAATAATTTCTTTAATTCACCAAAGATTTAGACTTATTCCTCAAGTCAATAGGTTCGGTGAATTGGAGGATATTATTATTATTCACATGGTGTGCGGTGATTATATTTGGTCATCGTGTTCTGGTGCACCAGAGTGATGACATCCCCTAAAAGAGCTAAAAAGGAATATTATATCAAAGATTTAAACCCTAGCTTATTCCCAAGCTAACTACTAATTATTTAATAATAATAATAATAATAATAATAATAATAATAATAATAATAATAGATACTAATCTACACATATAGCATGTACATATTATAATAATAATAATAATAATAATAATAATAATAATAATAATAATAATAATAATAATAATAATAATAATAATAATAATAATAATAATAATAATAATAGATACTAATCTACACCATATAGCATGTATGAGTATAATAGTTTTAAACTTTATGAAATATAATAAACATTTTTATTATTTTTAATTATAATATTCATTTGGATTTATTTTACTATTGCCAATATCAGTTTATCTGTAGTGACCGTCTTTCTACAATGGAAAGAGTAACATTAAGAAATCACTTGCCTCATAGCGTTTTTATTTGTTCTTATTCATTCTTCATTCACATATTACTAATGTTATTGGGAGTAACCCGTTAGATGTATAAGGTGAAAGTTGAATCTTTAATAGAACAATTATGTGCTTGACATAGATTTTTTTAAACTTGATTAAATTATTATCAAATCCCTAGTTCTTCATCTACTTCTATGTTTATTGTTTGTTTTATTTATTTAGTTCCTTAGTTCTTTCATTCTTTGTAATTTGTATATATTTCACCATTAACTATTGCGGTTGGAGTGTTTTAGGAATTACTTTCATTCTTTTACTCGATTGACACAAATTCTAGACTTTGAATCGCCTTCCTTTATATGTAAGAATTACTTTCATTTTTTCGCGCGTTTACGCAAATTGCTAGACTTTGAATCGCCTTCCTTTATATGACCAGAGATTGTAATTGCTTTTAGGAGCCAAAAAGCTTTAATCACTACAAAATAATTATCATCCATTCTTACAACATGCCAATATAACACCACACCAGCAATACTCCACCAACAAGATCCCCAAGAGCTAGAGTATGAGCCAAGTACTCTAGAACATTCCAGCACTGGAATGATGCAAAAAATATAGGGAATAAAAAGGAAAAAAGAGGAAAAAAAAAGGAAAAAAAAGATATTTCGGTCAATTGACCTTCTCGGCCAATCATGCCGAGCAACACGCCTTCTTTCCATTGTTATCTTGAGTGCCTACAACAAGTGTCTTTCCCTCTTTAATGTTAGTCTCAGCAGGCTCATTCGAGGCAAGTGATTTCTTACTAATAATCCTATAAATCTCGGAAAGAACATCTTGAAAAGCTTTTTCTACATTAGTTGCCTCCAGAGCAGATGTCTCGATGAATGAGAGTTCTTCCCTCTCAGCAAAACCCTGAGCATCCTCTGTGGCTACAGCCCTGAGGTGTTTGAGATCGGTTTTGTTTCCTATGAGCATGATAATTATGTTGGAGTCCGCATGGTCCCTAAGTTCTTTCAGCCAGCGGTTCACGTTCTCGAAGGTGGTCGGCTTTGTCACATCGTAAACGAGAAGGGCGCCCAGGGCACCACGATAATATGCGCTGGTTATGGCCCTATATCTCTCTTGACCTGCAGTGTCCCATATTTGAGCTTTAATAGTTCGACCCTCGACCTGTAAGGACACAAAATTAGTAAACTTGTAGTTGTGGGATTTAAAATCCTTCATATACAATCACCAAAATAAATTGCCGACAAAAAAATAAAAATTTAATATAAAAAAGTACGCACGCAATAGTATTTTTGTGAACCTTTATTCAATCAAAAGTGTGTTGCACCCAAAGAAAAATGAATTTTGGGTTTGATATGCTAGATGTACTAATATGGATCGCCATCAATTAGCTGATAGTTACAAGTGATTACTTGTTCAGTCTCATAAACACTAGGACCAACCACTAAATTGATATTGAAGGCAGTAAGAACAATGTACCTACACTTAACACACCGTCAATTCATCCTCATAAGCTAACTTGAAAGCTTGACTATAAGTGATCCCAAGAAACAGCTATCTTGAGAAACATACAAATCTGCACGAGAATCAGCCAAACATTTTTCCCGTTTCTTCTCCTCTTAATCAATGTAATATAAGACTATAATGGGTTTCGGCATTTTGTCGTCTTAAGCAAGCATTCTTTAGCAAATGGAAAACCAAGGTGGTAAAAATGCACAAATCAAGAAATCACCACTTCAAAAGATATCAATACTCCATCAAACAACAGATCTTGATGACCAGAAGCTCCCCAGAAAAATCCTCGATAACTCGTAAAAAAATGTAAAGATCGCCCCTAGCTCATCAAATTGCAGCTGAACGGCAGAGATTATAAGTATCAACCCACAAACAAAATAATTCGACACGGCCACAAGTAACCCACAAAAGCCATCATCTCAAATTCCATTTTCTCCACGTCAATCAGCAAGAAACACAATTTCAATAAACCCTAATTAAAGAATCCGAAAATGCTAAAAAAAATAGGGAAAATGGAGCAAAAATTGAGATCTGGGACCTGAAGAGTACGGGTGGCGAACTCGACGCCGATGGTGGATTTGGATTCCAAGCAGAACTCATTTCGAGTAAATCTGGAGAGCAAATTGGATTTGCCGACGCCTGAGTCGCCGATTAAAACGACCTTGAAAAGGTAATCGTACTCCTCGTCCGCTCTTCTCGCCATGCTTTTTTCACCTCAAAAAATGTCTATTTTGAACCAAGAATTTGCGCTGCCAGCGTAAAGAGTGGCGGTTTTTCCCTTTTCAGTAAAGAGTAGTCGGTAATGCTACACTTCTGTTACGGAATCATTTCGTCGAAATTTAATTATTAGATCATCATGTAATCGTTGTGGATAATTGATTTAACGATTATAAACTCCGATGAATGATTCCATAACGGGACCATAGACTTTTTTTAAAAAAATTATTATTACTATTTTTTGGACAAATTATGCTACTTAGCCAATCTCCATTACAACCAAGTGTAATGGAGACACTAAAAAATATTTTTTTAATGCCTCCATTACACTTGGTTGTAAACCAAATTGTAATGGAGGTGGGCGATGTAGCATAATCCTTTTTGGACAGACGCGCAGCACGCGTGCAAGAGAAACTGATTTACTATAAATATATTGGTATTTGATGAAGTTTTTAGTTAATTGTTATTAATTTTGAAAAAAAATGTTCTGATTAGTTAGTAGGATTTCAAGGTTGTATTAAAATAATATTTAAAGTAAAATAATTAAAATTTAATTGATTCAAAAATAGGAGATCGATGATTTCAAGTGGAAAATAGAAAAATTATGTGAGCGGATAAGTAATGGATTAAAAATTGATGTGACGTGTAAGGATGATTGATTAGTAGTATTTAATTGTTTTAATAATGTTAAAATAATGAGATTGAGTTAAAATTGAGTTAGATTTTAAGGTTAGATTAAATTTTTTTGGTATTTGTAAACATGTAAACTCTTATACTCAATTGACTTTTGCACTAATTGTCAAATCATCAACAAATAACTCCTCCCTAACAATTAAAAGCATGTTTGTTAACATGCCAAAGCGAGGAGGTGCTGCGCTGGTTGCAGACGTACACTCATTCCTCTCAGGCACTCGCTAAGGTAGGGGCTGAAGTGGATCGGTTCGACTTGCGTTTAATTGGTTGGTCCCCGCCGGATCCGGGTTGGATTAAAGTTAACATTGATGGCGCGTTTGATAAGTCTTCGAGGCTTAGCAGTGCTGGTGGGATTATTTGAGACGAGATGGGTCGCTGGGCGAAGGGATTTATGATGAATATAGGCTATTGTACCATCACCGGAGCCGGACTGTGGGGTCTATTTCAAGGTTTACAGCTTGCATGGGATGAGGGGTTTCGTTACGTTATTGTGGAAGTTGATAGCCAGTGCGTCATTCAAATAATTCTGGGTCCTGCTACTACTTTTGGGATGAACGATCCCTTGGTCAAGGCCATTCGCCAAATGCTTCACCGGGAGTGGACTACAAGACTTCGACATGTGCATAGAGAAGCAAACTTTGCTGCCGACTATTTAGCGAGCTTAGCGTCTTCCTATCCGATTAGTTTCCATGTGCTCTCTTCTCCTCCACCTAGTTTGGGCGAGTGGCTCGGGCATGATGTTATCAGGGTCTCTTATCCCTGCCGTATTTTAGTATAGGCCTATGGCCTCCTTCTTTGTACAAAAAAAAAAAAACATATTTGTTAGGTTAGCCCATTTGTATATCATAACACTTGTGTTTGTTAGCAAAGATTAGGGCCCGCCAGACAATGCTCGGCCCGTGATAAAATCATGATGAATCTTGATCTCCTGCGACTAATCGACCTTGAGGTGGTAGGCAAGATTACAACATTTTGGACATTGTTTTTGGTATGAAAAGACATCATTATCCCCTACATTTTGATTTTGTGACTATATCACCCTCTTGTGTTGCATAAACTCCGAAAAAGACAATTGAATTTTTATTGACATATATCCTGTATTAATTTTGAGTTTTATGTGAAATATTAATTTTTGCCCATAGTGCATACTCTATTTTGTGCTTGCGCATATGATTCACAAAAAATAAAATAAAGAAACAAAACACATATATTGAATTAAAATTGTACTCATATTATGGCTACATTCTATTAGATTTTCATGTTAACATGGACAATTGAAATGGGGACGTTGAAGTTATCGTGCTGGTTGGGGAAATAATTAATATGTTGAAAATTGTGTTCTTGCTTTGTTTTGTTCACATTAGACGTTTGGCCAAAAGATCCGTTGTCGTATGGGAAGTTACGAAGTGATGTGATGCAGCGTAACGAATGAGAAAGATAAAGAAACTCTCTAGCTCATATAATTTTTATTAGAAATTAATTGTGCCCTCAAAATAAGAAGAGGAGTCTCTTAAGTAAAACTCCTAGAAAGCCTTGAACTAATTAACTTGCCTACCAAGAAAAGGATTATGGCAAATAAATAACGATTTCCTGGCAAATCTAATAATGAAAATAATAATAAAAAAAATAAACAAAATAAAGAAATAAATAATTAAACTAATGACGATAAACGATCAGACGATAAACGATCAGACTTGTCCAATAAGGTCAATGCAGTCACATCTTCGTCATTCTCCCCCACTTTAGAAGGATTTATCCTCGAATTTGACCCAATCTCAATCTTCGTTCGAGTTGTTGCCATGGAACAGCACCAATGTTTGACCTTGAAAACGTCGGAAGTACGAATGTGCGACAAAAAAAAAAATTTACCGAACCGTAGCATTGGTCACCCCTCCGTATCACTACTTGACTACATAAAAAATTTGCTCGAGAAAAGCTATTCCTCACTGCCTATATGTAACTAAACTGGATTTCAGCTTCCCATTGCCATAAAAATAAAATTTCTATCCATTCTCAAAATGCAAAATGCAAAATACAACACCAGCCATAGTAAACCAATATACTCCACCCCACAACTTACCCCAAAAACCTCAAGTATTAATCAAGTGGCTAGATCTTTTGTGAAAGAAAAATATAAAAAAATGAAACATGAGGCCAAAAAAAAAAAAAAAAAAAATGGAAAATAAGAAACAAGAAGCCTATGTCGAACAACATGTCTTTTTAGCATCCTCTGTCTCCTGAGAACCGACCACAAGAGTCTTTCCTTCTTTAATGTTAGACTGAGCAGGCTCGTTTGAGGCAAGCGCTTTCTTACTTATAATACGATAAATCTCAGAAAGGAGAGTCTGAAAGGCTTTTTCCACATTAGTCGCCTCTAGAGCAGATGTTTCGAGGAACGACAGCCCTTCTTTCTCGGCAAAACCCTGAGCGTCCTCTGTATCAACAGCCCTGAGGTGCTTGAGATCAGTTTTGTTTCCTATGAGCATGATAACAATGTTGGAGTCCGCGTGGTCCCTAAGTTCTCTCAGCCAACGGTTCACGTTCTCGAAAGTGGTCTTCTTTGTCACGTCGTACACAAGAAGGGCACCCAAGGCACCACGGTAGTATGCGCTTGTAATGGCCCTGTACCTCTCTTGACCAGCGGTGTCCCATATTTGGGCCTTTACAGTTCGGCCTTCGACCTGTACATGTAATAATGAACATGTAAATTAAAGAGACGTGAAATAAGAAACTATTCACAATTTTTCTCTACGGAAATGAATCAGAAAATAACCAAAACAGGTTATGAACAGATCATTAACAACTTATGGCTATCATTGATCAATGGGAAAAGGAAGAGATAAAGAAAAACAATGATTTAGTTTTGGGCAACTCAATTCAGTTAAAAACTTGGCATACCAAGAACAACACGCTATGAATACTATTCAATAGCGTACAGGCAGAATATATTATGCTGAGAAAGAAATTAGAAAGTAAAAGGTCTTTTTCCAGTGCTAAAATGAAAAAATAAGATCAGCATCAATTAGGGGATACTTACAGTAATACCTGACCAAATCAGTAAAAACACAATAAACAACTGGAAGTGAAACTAGAGATAGTCAAAACTATATACCCATCATTGCACATTTCATGATGTGAGTACTTGATGGCGAGATTGAAAATAATCATAATAATAATAATAATTATTACTATTATTATTTAACATTCAGTAGTCCCTTACACAATAACTCCCTACAAAAGGGTAAATGGGTTGAGGTTCTTTTTTCCACTTAGTTAATGTATCTCCTATGAAACACTTTGTAGTCCCTCACACACTAACTCCCTGCAAAAGGATAATGGGCCACGGAGTTCTTTTCTGCTCGAAATTATCGTATCTCCCACGAACTTGTAGTTGACTTACATAAAGTAAATTATCGAAAATTCATATGCGAATAGTTATATCACCCTCATAGCCTTAAGAAAACTAGGGCAAAAATTAGATCAAGCGATTGAGACTGCTAGAATCTTTATTGTTTGTTTATAAAATAAACTCAATACATATTAAATTCAATCAACCATTCTTACAATCTTACACCAATCAATCTTAAAATCACATCATCACTCATTCTTACAACCTTACACCAATCAATCTTAAAATCACATCAATTTTTTAATCCACTATTCATTTACTCACATAATTTTACCTAACTATCACTTCACATCATCTTCTCCTACTTTTACATCAAGTTAACTTTTAAATATTATTTTAATATAAACTCAAAACCCCAATAACAACTAACCATATTCAAAAATCAATATTAACCCTGGTTTAAAAAAAAAAAAACAAAAACAAAAAAAAAAAAACTCGTTTTAAGCGGATATAATTATATTCAAGCACGCCCCAAGCAGCTCAAACAATCAGATAATGTAAAGGATATATAATTTAAGCAAGAAGGGCAAATGAAAAACAGAGATGCACATACTCATCCGAATACATACCGGCAATCCAAACAGCACAGCACAAACAAATCAAGAAAATCGCCAACTCAAAGTAGAACCACCCAATCTAAAAAACAGATCTAAAAGTCCTAAAAACATAAATCCACCAGAGTAAATGAGTATAAAGAAAGTCACCCTACTTCATAAAATTTCAAGCAAATGGCAGGGCATCAATTGCCAAACACACGCAAAATTAAATAATAAAAAACAAATCAAAAAGAACCCACCAAAATCAACATTTCCCACATCGAAAATCCTGTAAGTCTAACAAATTCGTCGGAAAAAAAAAAAAAAACAACAACAGCACGGACCACAATAATGCGCCATCAATCTGAATCAGATAACGAAATCATCAACTGCAAACTCTCGCCACAACCCCCCACAAGAAAAAAAAAAAAAAAAAAACTTTAGAGAAAACGAAAATGCTGGAGAAGAGAGTAAATTGGAGATGAAATGCCGGACCTGAAGAGTGCGGGTGGCGAATTCGACGCCGATGGTGGATTTGGATTCCAAGCAGAACTCGTTGCGGGTGAATCTGGAGAGCAGATTGGATTTGCCAACGCCTGAATCACCGATTAGGACGACCTTGAACAAGTAATCGTACTCGTCCGGTCTCCTCGCCATCGCCTCTTTCAGCTGAAAATCTGAGCGAAATCTGCCTTGAAAGCGCAAATAATGGCGGACTACTGCTTATTTTTTTTTCTCTTTTTCAAATGAACGAAAGGAAATGTGCTGTGTGACTGAATTGCACGTAGTCATTTTAGGGGCATAAATAAATTAGTAAAATACAGAAGATTCTTGATTATAGCATAGTTTTTAAACCCGGCCCGTGAATCGAACCATGCATGTCTCCGCGTCATCGGGTCACCGGTTCAACTGTCGGATCATCGGATCAAATTGCTGAACTGGATAAATAATTTAAGTTTTTAAAATTATATATAGAATATTTTTATCATATAAATATACATAAAAATAACAAAATTAAATATTTTATGTATAAAATTTATATTAATAATATGTATCTCATGATAATATTTACCATATAAGCATATACATACATAGTTTTATTTAAAAAAATAAAAAAATATATATAGAGCGGGTCAACCGCATTGACCCGACCGGGTCAACGCACCGGGTCGGTCATGTCAAAACTGGGTTGGCCAGATTTGTCCAGATCCTTTGTTGCCCAGTTCTAATAGCCTACTCGAACCAGTTCTGCTTCCGGATCGACCCGCCAGGCCGGTCCGGACCATAAAACTATGGTTTATAGTTAATTTTTGTTTTTTTTTTAAAAAAAAAAATCCTGTGCTGGATTAAAATAAATGATTTAGTAAATCAACTTGTTCTAATCTCCAAAATTGAAAAACTTGTTTTAGCAAATCCACGCATCCACCCATTGATTGAAATTGGAAAGTACGTTTTTTCCTAAATTAGTAAATACAATACGAGTAGTATCATCACCTTTAATTTTTATCTTAAATTAGTAAAATTTTTACTTGCCTAAAGCCAATTGACTGTTGATCTTTAATTTTTATCTTAAATTAGTAAAATTTTTACTTGCCTAAAGCCAATTGACTGTTGATCTTGTCTGATCCTACCACATCACGCAAAAGGACCTTCCAAAAATTGTGTTGATAGATAAATATGGATCCAACGGTTAAAACACCCGACGGGATGATACCGTAACGGGACTGTAGCATTTCCCTAAACTATATATCGACCTTTTCTTCTTCACCCATCAAACTTCCAAGATAAAGTGAACACTGAACATGCCAATAGATGCTGCTGCAGATTTCAACAAGTGAAAGATGAATGGTAACACTTCAACTCTTTTCGCACCAAAAAAATAAACTAAAATAAACGAAACTCATAACCGAAAAACAAGCACAATATGAAACCTACGAATCTCAAATTCTACACTAATCATCCCAACTCAACTGGAATTTGAAGTGCACTGCAGACTGCACTCATCACACAATGCTCTTCGCTTGTTCGGAATTATTAAGAGACAGGTTCTCTGTTAGAGAGACCAAAGATGAAACGCCCGTCTTGTTGGCCTCGCCCGACTTTTCCCCTTCTTTCTGTTTCCATGAATATAGGCATGGCCGACGATTAGAGAATTAACTTCATGGCAATTTATCATGCTCGTAATTACATATTTGTGTATAAAGTTTTTGAAACTACAAAAACCTCCAGGAAGGAATTACAAATGCCAGTGACTTGTATTTAAGATAAATTGAATATTGTTTTATTAGGTGTGATTTATCAAGAGTATATTGGTAAAAGATAATCTAAAAACATAAATGTTGTTGGAAAAAAATATAAGAAAAGGCTGCAATAGTTTCAAAGTGTTGAAACAGAATATACAAACCTCATGATCGCCATTTTTCAAACCATTTGTTTGCGAATCCAGTCGGGCCTCTCTTTTCGCTTTGAGGGCCTTCTCGCGGTTTTCGTAAAATTCAAAATCATCAAGCACACATGTTCTTTCAGTGTAATTCTTGAAAATGCTCAGCATCTCTAACCCCTGTTTCAATCCAATCTGCAAAGAAAGAAAAAGCACATAGGGTTGTGACAAAAGTTTATCGAGTCTGAACAAACTATTTCTTGCATGAATTTAATATGGGTGATCTTAAAATGACACGTACCATCAGGATTGTTATCTGAATTCGAGAAATGAAAATAAGGTACATAAAACATTACCTCCTGAGTGTCCCGGCTATAAGTGACGGGCCTGTTATCGTTGTTCTCAAGGGTAATGTGTCGTAACAGTGTGTTCGGGACATCTTTAATTACATGCCATTTTATAGGAAAGAAACCATTCCATTTATCAAGCTGCCAAAAGTCCATATTTTTGCTGAAATTAACCTGCCCAGTCATCTCGGCAACGCCCACAAACTGTCCGCTCCCATTAACCTGAGGTAAGCAATTCAAATAAATAAATTAAAAAAAATATAAAAATATAAAAATAAAACTCAGATGTATCTCGTCCACCAGTCACCAATAACTTTTTTCATAATGATATTGAGAGGAATTACGCAAAAGCATCTTTTTCAGAAAATACGGCACAAGCTTACCGAAAAAAATAGGAAGACTGGACATCGTACACCAGTCTCTTTCACTTTAGCATCCGCTTCACAAAATGCATCGTGCAGTTTCTTATTGCCATTTGGCGTACTCGACCAAACATCGTACTTGATGCACTTGTGAATATCATCTTCGCTATAGGACTTGATCACATAGAACTTTGCATTATCATAATCGGTCTGAAACTCTTTCGAGTTGTACTTGTTCCTATCTAGAGCAAAAGCATGTTGTTCAACCTCAGATGGCAAATTTGTGAAATTAATCTTATTTTCGCCCCTCGGGCCACGGGTAAGATCCGTTACTGCTTTGATTTCTACAAACTTCCCAGTATTTTCCTTTGACCTGTACTTGTAATTGTTGTCGTTCCATAATTTGTCATTTGATGTATAACTTATTGGGTTGTACTGCGTAAATACTCCGGGATTTTGGTTTGCGAGTGATGAGAATTTTCCAGCACCATTTAATCCCCTCATGAGGCCTGAAGACTGGAGAGTAGATCCTACCTTCAAGAATCACAAGAACATCAAACAAGGCACCTCGAACTAACCAACAGAAAATAAAGAACTAACCAACCAAAAAAAAAAAAAGAAAGGAAATTGAAAAAGGTATGAACGCTGATGTGAAGCTACAACACAAAAAGGATCTTCGTCTACATTAAATTTATAAATACATCCTCTGTTAGTTTGTCTTCTATAAATTCCACCCTCAAAACGAATATTTTTTGGTAGCGAAAATCACAAAGGGTTGCTTCTAACACCTTAAAGCAATGTTATCATTCGAGAGATGATGAGAGTCCGAGGGGTAGTTTTTGAAGCTATCACTTTACTGGAATTTGGAAAATAGACAGTACGCAGTCATGCCTCATTGACGGCAAGCATTGTCCTTTAGTTTTTGGTGACTTAAAAGCGAACATTAAGATTCCATGCCATGAAAACAGGCGAATTTGTGCAATCTTTTACTGTTACAAGAAGCGATTTTCCATAGCATAAGCTACAAGTAGTTGAGAACTTGAGTTTGAAATAAGAAAGTTGGATTAGCCAAAAGGGTGTCTTAACTCTTAATTGAATAAGTTGTTAAAGTGCTTATTTATTAGTAAAAGTTGAATCCAGGCCGAACAACATATGTCAGCTTACATATTAAGAACCACAAAGAAACTTTAAGAACAACATACCTCATTAAATGGATTCTGATACATAGACCTTGACCTATGAGAGACGGGCTGTTGAGTTGCTGAATTAAAGGGCAAATCTGAAATTTTGCTCTTGAGACTGTTATTAGTTTTCGAAGCAGTAAATCCATCCGAGTTCCTGGAGCCACTGGGGCCCACCCCAGACCTCGCTGGGCCAGGTTTAGCAGCAGGGCCCGTCAAACCATTCCTTGTGTACGCTAAATCATATGTATAGCACGGGAAGGTTTCTGATCCATATGAACAAGGCTGCTGAAGGTATTCTGATCCATACGCAGGAGTATATGTGCCATAGCTGGGAAGGTAATATAGGAATGAATTATTATCCGGTTGGATACCCTGAAAAAAAAAAAACAGAATTTGTCATGCTGTGGGGAACAAGAGCCCAGGTGATAGAACACAAGTAAAACAAGAAAAAAATAAATATAAAAATGGCAGAAATAATAAAACTTGGGGAAGAACATACAGTGTAAGCACTGCCTACAGAGTTTATATAGCCTTTTTCATCAGATTGAGGATAGGTGCTGCTGTATCCTACAGGAAAATGAGAAAAGACATTATTGACTACATAAAAAAATGTTGGAAAAACCAAACTGTTGACGCATCGGTATCAGAATCAAAAAGCTACGAATATAATAGCCAAAAAGCAAAAAACACCAATAAGTAGTACGTATATGAATGTTAAGGGGACATCTAGATATCAGAGTACATGTGGTAGAGAAGTCCAGCAATAAGAAGGACAAGTACATCAGAAATAATTAGTAAGCTCTCATTTGATATTATGATTCAGCAAAATGTCGTATCAGCTAGCATAAACTTATTTACCTCTGATCCTACATCATTTAATAAATCCTACCATGCCTGCCCGTAAACAAAAGAGAACCTTATCATGGAAGCCATTTAATATATTACCCGGATAGTGGTAATCATAACAGCTGGTGGGTGGATAATAAACACCTGAAGTTTGACTACTTGCTCCTTTGGTTCCAGATACAGACGGCATTCCCTTTTTCCTCTGGAAAATGGACGGCTTAGATTACGAAACATAACATCTTGCACTTAATATATAACATAAAAATATAAGAAAAAGGAAATCATAAAAAAACAACAATCCATCTACAAATGGTTGAATAAAAGTATACCATATCTTTTTCTTGAAGTTTGACCGATGAATCAGACATCATGGATGGGGTACTCAGTTTAGCTGCAGGCAGTAAAAAAGTAACAATAAGTCCCTCAGAAACTATTCTAGAAAATTGTATTACATATGTCAAAACAAACAAACATGTTTATTTGATTTCAGACAAATTATACATCAAACCTTAAAATTAAGGAGACCAACCCTTGCCTTAGAATGGCAAAGTCGCATTGCCACACAATTAATACAAATCAAATCTAGATTTAATCAGTATATGGTCAAGATAAACACTATATGAGAGAAACAAACTGCACTAGCAACAAATCATGCAATTTTACAGAAAATGAGTGGCCATAATCAGCATTAACCACACTGTTTGGTGATTACAAGATGGCAGTTGACCAATGAGTCCTAGAAAAAATAATTATATTATAATTCTTAGAAACCAACTGAGTAATGCGCCGATTGCTACAAGCATGTATTATATAATATTTACAATGAAGAGGATCATGTAAGAAAAAAAAAATAGGTGCACGTCTATGTTTCTTTCTTAACATGCATTTTCAAAATCCAAACAAAACTTCTACATGAAAAACAAGATACAGAGAAGTATGTGACGAACACACCTTTTCAAATGCTCAGAAACTTATTTCATAAACTCAAGTAAACCTTTCCATAACTAACAGATTGACTAATCAACTATAAACATGATATTTATTTACAGAAGGACCAAGTAATGAAATGATAGCAGTTCCCAAACCCTAGACCCTCCCCCCTCCCTCAAGACAGATTATGTTCTTGCCCCACGGATACAACTACAAGATCAAGAATTAAGGGCATTTAATTCTTCCCCCATAAACCAAGAAGCTTTTTCCTTTTGTATTCAAGTGTCAAAAAGTTTTTCCGCCAAGGAAAGGAATGAAAGAACAGTTTTTGGATTAAAACATTTATCTATAAATAAGAAAAAGTCGTTCTTTAATTCTCTCCAGAGAATATTGGGAGGCCAAATCAATTCCAATTAAGTATAGATATAATTGAGCTTGAGAAAAAAAGAAAAAAAGGCTAAAGTCTTTCCTTCCCACAAAGATCATGTGTGTTAGGAAAAGATAGCAAAAGTATACAAAGAGAGAATTTCGCATCATTTTCGTACCAAGTCTTTTTCCTACTAAACAATCCGCACAAATGTTTATAAACCAACAGAAAATTACAGGCCTCGGTGACAATTATTTTGTTGTTGAAAAATTTGGCGAACAAATTGTTAGCCATATACATACTTATTCAATTTGATCTTCCTCCCTTTTGTAGATACTACATGAAAACATGCTTATCTAACCTCCAAACATGCATGAGCAAACAACAAACAGTTGGGGTGCAACTCTGTCTGTGGCCAGGAAAATCTTGAAACATATCAGGCATACTTACCAAACATAATTTCAAGAACACAAACAGAACCCAAAATTTGCCCACACCATATTTCAACTTGACATCTTTCAAAAGTGAAGGGAGCAAGAAAAAAAAAAAAAAAAAAAAAAAAAAAAAAAAAAAACATGCTGAATATAGCTCAACTACAATCATACAAGCATCAGGAGAAGGTTCATACATACTTACCAAGCACCAACCATAATTCAAGAAAACAAACAGAACCCAAAATTATCATATTCTGCTTGTCATCTTCCAAAAGTGCAAGAAAAAAAGAAATGCCCAAAAGCTTAACTGTGATAATATACCTCCTCAAGTCTTCTTCTTTTTTATTTCTTCTTCAAAAAAAAAGGGTAAAGCCAGAAGGTGCGGGAGAATAAGAACACAGCTCTTGTGTAAATAAAAAAGAAAAGAAGAGCAGAAAGAGGCGCGCGAGTCGAACAAGAGGGGACTGTGGTCTGCGGGTAAAACCCTTGAGCAGATCTGACGGCTGATATTGTTTTCTTTACTGGGAAGAAAGTGATTTGACGCCGTTGGAAGTGAGGCACAGGAAGAATTCAATTTGAGTTGGGAGAATGAATACACTAAAATATAATAGACGTGGGGTTTGGATATTCAAGTGGGTTACTGGGTTATCATGCCGCCAGCTCACCAATTGACTAAATTTAGCATCATCATATGTAAATGGTAGGTCTCTCTTTTTCTTATGGACATGGGCAGCGGTTCGGATGTATCAACGAACTAAGAACCGTTGACCATAGGGAGGTTTAAAAATCAAAGACAAAGGATATAAATTCAACCCGTTTTGATCGGTGACTGCTATAGCACTCATAATAGCTCGATGAATCTGCTTGAGTGGTTGTGTAATATCCCGACTTTTTATCAGTATAATAATATTTTAGTTCCGATATTATT